GCTTGTCTTCGTCTTTCACTAATACTTTTGGTTTCATTATAAACAGAACAGTAATTACAATCAATGTAATTATTACATTTATTAATGCACCCAATATGACTACCTGTAATAAGATTTAACAAAGAGAGAAGCAAATTTTCATTGCCAAATTTTTTAAAATGGAAGAAGTAAATAAAATTTTAAAAGAATTTCTAAATTAAGAGTGAACGAAACAAATTATTATTGTTACTGTAATATCACAGGCAAGTAAGCAATAATGTTGACAATGCTGACGTTGAACTTTGCATTTGGTAGTGGTGGTGATAGGTGCAAAGAATGTCGTCGGAGGAATTGTTAAATTAGGAAGAAAAATTAATTTATGGAAAGAATAACGATGTTGGTAGTTTGAAAATCATATAATTTTAAAAAGTCAAATCAATGTGATTGTACTTTTTTGATTTACCTTTAAATTTCCAATTATAAATCTATAGGAGAAATAATTGTTGGCTTATAACTATTTATTATCGTCATTCCCTTTTTTTTTTTACTTTTTTTTCCGATTTATTATCGTTATTCCCTTTTTTTTTACTTTTTTTTTTCCTTAATTTTCCTATGAAGAAAACCGAAGGAAAAAGAAAACAGGAATGAAGAAATGAATATAATAAATAAATTTAAGCTAAAAATTGAAAAAAATGTATGGTATACTTATTATCATACATTCTTCAAATATTATTTCGAAAATTTTATTTTTTTTCTAAGATAACTTTTGGCTTAAAATAATTTGTTCCAAATGGTATTTGACATTTCCAAATGTCAAATAATACATACCAAATTATAAATGGATAGTTTACTGTAATCCGGATGATATGATAAAGAGCTGATTGACAAACCGGATTGTACAATATTCACTATCACAACAAGTAGCAACCAACTAGCCATAATTTAAATTAATCTAACAAATACAGTTCATCTGCTTTCCAATCTTTCCCTTTTGTACTTACCAAAAAAAAAGTATCGAAATAATTTGCATAATACTTTTTTTAGGAGATAAAAAAGAAGAAGCATCCATATTTTATTATAAAAATATTTTTTCAAAGCCCCTTTCATTCTATTTTAAATCCATTTAAAACAAGAGCTTACGCAAATGTTTGTATCTTTTTCCTTTTTCTCATTTAATTACTTTTTTTTAAATTTAAATTAAAGTATGCAACATGATGATATTAATAGTGATGAAAGATTTAAAATATCCATCAAATTATAAGAAATTCTCTTTTTTTTTTCCATTCCGGTTATCACCTCTATAAGTTAACTGAAATCATTCACAACATATTAACACAATGTGTACTCACGTTACTCATGTTAATAAGCGTTTGCATTGATTAAATCGATTGCTACACGATCACTATGTAATTAATTAATGCATAAAATTTGACAGAGAACTTTACGAATCAGTTTCTCATCCAAGTGAATATAATCTTTAGATGGTAGTTATTTGCTGCAATTTGTATAAAATAAGTTAGAAATTAAAGAAACAATAATATAATACAAGAATTATGATAGTCATTTATCACTTAAATCAGTAATTAGTAACTAATATCAAAAATGAATAACTTGATTACTGATGTCGTGATGTATTGTTATTTTTTATTAATAAGTTTAAATGGATGAAGTGTGGGGAAAAATGTAAATGAATAATTAAATTAACTAATAAGAAAATAAGTAGGTTAAGTAAACAAATAATTGAATGAAATAATCTGATAAATTATTAAAGTAGTTATTAAATATTGAGTTATTAAATACAAAATGAAATGACAAAGTATTCGATGCATGCATTATCAAAGCAGACCACCCGCACAATTTACACTCCCTATCACTTCATACAGTCAGTAGTAAATATGAGTAAAATTAGTTGAGAACGAAAAAGAAATTTGATATAGGTAAGAAGAGCAGACAGAGACAGAGAGAGACAGGGAGGGACAGAAACAAACAGAGACAGAGAAAGACAGAAAGAGAGAGAGAGAGAGAAAGAGAAAGAAAGAAAAGTACTGCTAGTTGCAAAATACGTGTCAGATAGATAGTGAATACACTTACTTTTCAACTTATGCGTGCAATTGCGTGTAGGTGTCGTGTAAGTGTTTGTGCATGTCATGCATATTAATACATGTGCGCATGCATGCCTGTGACTGTATGTGCTTTTAATGTGAACCTACGTGTATCTGTATGTGTGCATCTGTTACGTGACACATGCACGTTCCTAATGAATAATGAATGCGCACGTATGTGTGCATGTAAGTTAAACGTGTAGCAATCCATGTTTAACACGTGCATACATGTTTGTCGCGTGTCTTCGAGGGTACATCCGTGTATGTGATGCATGTGTGCTTGCAATCCATATGTTTATGTGCATGTGTATGTTATGTGTGTGTGTGTGTATGTGTGTGTATGTGTATGTGTGTGTATGTGTGTGCATGTGTGTATGTGTGCGTGCGTGCATGTGATTAATGTGTATGTATGCGTGTGTGTATGTGATATATGAGGAGCTAGCAATATGGCACAGTGAGGCTCACCAGCTGTCACCGAGTCGTTGACAGATGGATAGCTTTGATTGTTTTCCCCCGAACTTTTTATAAATGAATGAGGACATTTATCATTCTGAAATGACCAAGAAAGATCGAGAATGTTCTTGCAGAGTGCAAAAGGAATGGTTTAGTATAGTATTCGGTGTAGAAATTACGTATTTTCCATAACGAATTGATTTCGGATAATCTGTTCCGTTTTTCCTCATTATCTACAATATCATATCAGTGAGGGAATATTGTATATATTGTATCTAATAACCGGAAATACTAAGATCATCAAGTATCATATTAACAATTATCGATAACTTATTTTTTTTTAATTTTAATGTCATAGTGTTTTTTGAAAAAAAAAACTCTGAAAAGTATTTTTGGATTTTGCTATTTTCAATGCTTAATATTTGGCAACATTTTAATGAATGTTCATAGTTGATATCATTCGTTTATCTTTTGAAAAAAAAAAAATTTCCGATACTAACAAATAATTAATCGTTGCAGGTGAAACTGAATTTTATTGGTGAATTTGTAAGCGTCAGTTTCGTTATTTCGAAACATACCAGTAAATTAATAAATAGTGTGTTGCATAATAGACGATGTCATTAAAATCAGTCGTATTAGGCGATGATCGAGAAGCATCCATCAAACATCAGGTAGACGAATTTAACAAAAACTTTCAGTTTTTTTCTTGAATAATAACGATCAACTTATCAATTACTAACCAAATAACTTTTCGGGAGGTATTTACGAATAATTGTTGAGGTTTAGGCTTACATCATCTGAAATCTTCAGTAAAAACGCTGAAGCAGTGCAGGAAGATGATATGAAATGTGTTAAGCAATTTTTCTTTTTCAGATCTATTTGTAATTTGTTGAAAATGAACTTAACTCATTATGAAAATGCAACTGTTGAAGAAGAACGTAATGAGTGATTTTAAAAAAAGAAATAAGGAATTTTGTTAATATTTGAGCAAATTTCACACGCCAAGAAATAATAGGAACAGTATTAAATAGAAAATAGTACTTTTCAACTCCAGGTTATTGATTTTTGTTTCCTTAGTATGACAATGATAATTGAATTATAGCTCAGTTTAACTCACGAAATTTTTATTGTTAAGCGTTATCATTGTTAGTTATTAAATCGTTGTTTATTTACCTGACTTTATACTTTCAGATTGTGTCGGTACATAAAGCGTTGAACAAAAATGAGGTACCACTTAAGCATAAACACGCACGACAAGTGATAGTTGGGACGCATAAAGAGAAATCTTGTGCATTATTTTGGAGTTGTATTTCACGGATTCAGCTGGAAAAAAACCCAGTTATTAGCTGGAAATTTTGTCATTTGCTTCACAAGGTTTGTTTTTACTTACGAATAAATTTCCTGTTAAAGAGATTTCAATGCATAGGTTTTTACAATCAGTATTTTATCAGGTATTTTAAGATTTTTTTTCACTGATATTAGGGAGTAAGTATTGGACTGGAATTTTAATTTTTTTTAATAGAAATTAAATAATTATTTAACAGTTTTTTTAACAATAGCATTACTTGCTATTTACATTATTTTCAATTAATCTCATCAGATATTTTGATTGCCGTCTGATGATTATTAGGTATTGGTGCTATACTTTATCTTGCATTGCAGCACGCAGTTGTAGATATTTCAAGGCCGAGTAATCTTTTTCAAATTTTTACAAGTGGCTTCTAGTAGATTATTCATTACTAAGAATGGATTTGCGTATGTTTTGATTTAGCTGGCTTTTGCAGGTCTCAAATGTTAACCTACTCTAACAATATTGTGTCGGCTTGTGCTTTTTGCAGTTAATCCAGGACGGTCATCGAAAAGTGCTAGAAGAATCGGTTCGATATAAAGCCCGTATCGAAGCGTTAGGGAACTTCTGGTATCACCTTGAGAATTCTGATTACGGTCGGCCTAATTCTTCTTATTGTAAAATGCTCGTCAGCCGTCTCGAATTTCACAGCCGAGTCAGCATTTTTATTATGTTTAGTTGTTTTTTTTCGATCGTGCAGAGTTCACATTTGTAAAACTTTTATTTGCTATCGAAATTCTGAATTTACATTTGTTTCAGAATCATTCTATACCGGGGAATCTAAGATTGAACGCCAATCAGGTTAGGGCATTAGCAAATGCCGATGTAAACCAGTCATTTGAACTCTCAGTTGAGATGCTGGATCAAATGGATGATTTATTAGCTTTGCAGGCAGCCGGTAATTTTTTTCATGAACTTTATTATCTGATCAGAAGTTAAAGTATTTGATTAAGACTTATTTTAGTTCTCAGAAAAGTCATTTTAGTTCTCAGAAAAGTGGATAATGTTAACTGGAGTTCTTTGATCCCTCAAGGACAATGCATGTTATCGCCATTAATACTTATAATTCTTGATACAAGCAAATTCTATGATCATTTGGTGAAATTGATTTTCAAGCTACATTCAAGTGAGCGATATTTTCTATTCATATATATATAAATTAGCAAAAAGACAGGTTCTTTGAATATTGTACTTTGAAAATGGGATCTTTGATAGTTTTAATGAAAGTAAGCTTTAATTTCTTTACCTTACTGGAACTATTATTAGTCTACATCTTTAAGAAGGCCCTATACTATCCTTTTTTGAAGCTTGCTTCACCTTCTTTTCATTTCAGAACATTTGCGATTTTGTTTCAGTTATTGCTGATACATTTTCAGCTGCTAAATTTTCAGAATTACCCCCAGACGCATTGCATGGCCATAGAAGCCGATTCAATTCTATTTTTCGGCAAACAAAGGAATTTTATGAAACTTCAACAAATCTGCAGTATTTTAAATTTCTGGTTTCAATCCCAAAACTGCCCACATACCCACCTAATTTCCTTCAGGTAGTAACATTTATCTCATCCTTAATTTACTCGTTTTTCGGTTTTAGGTTTTTGATTTTCCAACTTATTTGATATCTTTTCAAGATTGATTTAGAAAAATTTTAGGCGTCTGAACTGGAGAGTTATCAAGCACCAAATGCTTATCTTCATGGTGATAACGTTAGCGAAGCCGATACTCCTCCTGATGAGCGATCTGTAGCTGAGGAAAGTTTAGTCGATGTTGTAGAGACTGGCTTGCAGAACAATTCTGATCATATGGATTCAAAGTAATTCTTATGTTACTTCTCTGTGGTATAGGTTGTTTCTTCTTTCTACATATGATGCAGAATGCCGAATTTAAGTTTTTGCCTAGTGTACTTGTCGAACTGTCTTTGCCTTCAAGGCTAGTAGCATTTCTTTCCTGTTCTGAATAGGTCGTAATTTCAGAGATACGATAATTGAAGCTTTAAGGCGAGATGTGGAAGATGCACGTTATCACAATGAAAGGCTTATGAATGAGGTATGTGATAGATATTTTAAAGATCTTTTTACTTGGATGGTCTGTTGTTTCTGTTGCAGTTCAAAATTAATATTTGCTAAAATTTAGGCTTAAACTTGCTGACTTGAAGAAATGCTATTTTTATTCATTTTTATTTTGCAGTTATTTTTACTTCGCAAACTGCAGTTGCATTTATATTTAAGGCGCGTGCTCGTATTGAACAGTATGAAAAACGCTTGGTACAAGCACAACAAGAAAATGATCATTACAAGCAGACACTAGATGAAGTGAAGGTGCACACGAATATTTATGCAGTTTTTATTATTTTGAGCGAATTTCTATAAGTCATTTTCTAGAATTTTACATTATTTTACACTTCGAAATTTAGAGCGAAGTCGATAGGTTACGGCAATTGACCATAGCGAAGGGACAGCAGACTGTCGATGAGGCTCGGTTACTCGAAATTGAGCAAAAAGCTCAAAGCAGTGAACTCAATTATCAGAAAATGAAGAGCGCATATACTAGCTTACGACAGCAGCACATTGAGGTGGCTTTTATATTCTCGCCTAATTGTATTTTATCATTTTTTTTCTTGTTTTTTAAAGTGTTTAATCAGGAAATATCGATTTCACATCCGTGCAGTTCCGGTTGAGTCATATAATGTGGTGATTGAACCATAACTTTTTTTTTTGCTGATGTAGAGTTTTTAGGCACTCACGAAGCTTTCTGAGGCTCAAAAAGAGTTAACATCTTGCCAGACGGAGAAGCAAAGTAGTGAAAAAACCATTTCAAGTCTTGAAAAGAAGATAGCGGATTTGGAACAAGAAACAGTAAATAAAAAAGAAAAAATGCAAAATGCTAGCGTAAGCCTCGATAACCTCCAAAAAAATATAACTGAGCGAGATAGTGAAGTGCAGGAACTGAAGCAGGTATGTTGGAGAGCAAAAAGTATTGATGAAGTTATTGATGACTGGAATGAATCAATGAGAACGCAAAACATATCCATATGATTTTGATAGGACTTTTTCGCTGTAAACGTTCTCCGGTTTTCTTTTGTTTTGAACCCGTGATCCTTACTGTTCAGTGCACTGGATACTAGAAATTAAATCTCACCATAAGTTCCCTCTTAGTTGGATGAAGGACTGAAAAATTATAATGTAATAGAGTCAAATAATACCAGCCAGAAGTTGATGTCTTAAAAGAAAATCTATCGGAAAGTCGAGAAGAAAATTTAAGACTAGGACAGGAAATTCGATCCGAAGGTGGTAGTTGGTAAATTGAGATTTAAAGTAGAAAGATTATACAACCCTCTGCTCAATAACTTCTTTGTTAGTTGATGTTAATGAAAGAGTTGAAAATAAAGAAGTAGAAACTGATAAAATCGAGAATGACTTATTATGATTGCTAAAGTGATTTGTCAGAATTATGTTGGAAGATTTACAAATGGTTGACGAGACTTGTACATGCCATTAGCTAATGGATCACTTTGTCTCATTCTGAAGCACTGTAGTTCAGAAATGAAGAAAACTAGATAGGGAAATTTATTTAATCAAAATAACCAAAATTTTTGCAGGTGGTAGAACAGATGAAAGCAGAAAATATCAGAAATGTGGAGAAAATGGAAGAGGAAAACGAAGCCAAACTGCACACTGTTATTAAAAGCTTATTTAGTAATAAAAGTTTCCTTTGTTTTTCATTTTAGGATGTTTATAACTTTTTCAAGCATCGATTGTTTTCTGTAGTAGTTTTATTCCATTTTTATTTTCACTTCGTTGCAGCTTCTCTGGGTGAAGTGTATGGTCAAATCCTGAAACAGTCGTGTGAGGACCTCCATCATGCTTTATCAATCACTTATCCCAATCGTAAGTGTATATTTTTATTCAGTTTTTAACAATGTCATGAATGCTTTAATTGGGCAGTATTTTTGTGGATTATATTTTATGAAGTTATTGTTAAATCTATTTTAGCATAGTTTAGCATTCATAGAAATTGTTATTTGTCATGAACTTTTACAGATGTTTGAAAGAATTTGATGAGAAGAAAAGTGCACTATTTTTGGCATTGGTTTATTACATATGTAACGCTTAACTGTGGGTCGCTCTTGATGATAACTGTGAATTTCAGAATTAGTTCTACCGGCTCTTCGTTTTGTTGTCGAAACTACTGAAAAAGCGATTAATGAAGCTGATGGTGAACAGTCTGACAAATTATTTCGTACTTTAATTTTTCTGGGACATTATCTTGCTGATGTCTTATTGAATAGTGCTGCTGCGGCTAATGTTGTTTCCATTCAACATTTTCAGAGTATGTTGACAGCAGTTCATTATTGTGTACTTGAATTGTGTAACGTCTTTATATATTCGATTTACAATCAAAAAAGAGAAAAAATAACTTGAAGGTATATTTAATAGAAATCGAATATTGGAAAGCTAAAAAATTTATAGTTCTAGCATCTTTTTATTTGTTTTGCATCATTTGTTCTTGCACGGCCTACATCAATTAAATTAAGGATTTTTGTTCCCTAACTCATTTTCGCATTGCAGTAGTGCAAGAGCAATGTTGTATTGTAATAACTGACGCTGTTGCTGCTTATTCAGTGGTTGAAAATCTAAATTTGAAGTCTGCTAAAGAACCTTTTGAAAAGTTAAAGGTAGGTTATCATATTTGTGCATATTAATGTTAGCAATATTCTGGCAGCCGACTAAATATTAGATCGTCAGAAGTGATTGAACTACGCTTTTTTGCAAGTATAGTATTAACTTATTTTATCATTCATTTTAATTTTGTTATACTATTTATAGAGTTCTTTGGAGAGATTGGAAGAAATATGTGTCAATTTGCCGGCTAGTTCGAGTGAAGTGACGGCTGAAGTAATCGGTGCTGAGCTTGAGCAAGAGATGAAACGCATGGATGAAGCAATTCAAAAAGCTGTAGAATCAATTGAAGAAATGCAAAAGAAAAGTCAAGCTACTGATTCCGGGATACGGTTAGAAATTTGTTATTCTTTAAGTTTATATATTCTAGTGGAATAGCTGAAATTTCTCTCATAGTTTAGCATCATGTATCTTTTCAATTCACTTTTCTTAGAAAATGATCACTGTCATTATATTTGACATGTAAGGAACAAATTTATGAATCGATCGTTTGATAACTCTGTCCATATATTCTGAAAAATGATGTTCAGGCTGTTTATGAATATTAAATACTTCGTTCCAGTTTAAAAGTCAACGAAGGAATTTTGGATTCTTGTAACCAGTTGATGGCAGCAATAGTAACGTTAGTAACAAAAAGTCGAGCATTGCAAGAAGAGATCGTTGCTGCTGGTCATGACACAGCTAATCCAAATGAATTTTACAAACGAAATCATCAATGGACTGAAGGTTTACTTTCAGCAGCTAGAGCGGTCGGAGTTGCTGCTACAGTACTTGTGTAAGTCATCATGTAATGTATAAAATAAGTATGGCTTGATTCGTATTTCGTTAAGGTACATAATAGAAACCATGTTTTAACTGTAATATTTTATCAAAGTTCTAGTAGTAGCTTTTATGTGAACGACTTTTTCCCGCCAACATTGTTTAAATTATGTTTTAGAGTTTATTCTAACAATATTCGTATTTCTAATATATCATTTAATGTTGGTACACTTTTTACCATTTCATTTACAGTCAAAAGGCGGATGATGTAGTTTCTTGTCAAGGCAAACTGGAATATTTGATTGTTGCATCACAAGAGATTGCAGCGAGCACCGCGCAATTGTTTGTATCATCTCGTGTAAAGGCAGATCGTGAATCACAACGACTGAAGGAACTTTCCACAGCATCCTCTTCGGTGAATGCTTGTACTGCAAATGTTGTTGCCACAGTGAAAAATGCTCAGATTACCTTAAATGAGCAGAGTAAGTTCCCATTCTGTTGAAAATTGCTTTAGCAAAACAATTAACCATCTGAAGCATTAATAATTAAACATGCATCATGTTAATAATAACATTCGAAACCGATTTCAATTATCATATGCTTCATTTTTGTTATCATTAATTTTATAACATGGTAGAACAGCAAAAAGTTATGCAAATTATTTCATTTAAATAGTAAGCAAGTATTTAATGCGATAACATACAGAAAAATACCATTTACAAAGTCTTTATAAAAATGTTATAATTTTACATTGTCATTATAGAAATTTGAATTAGATTTTTTAGAAGATCTCGACTTCAGTAATTATACTCTACACGATACAAAAAAAGAAGAAATGGAAAGCCAAGTACGTATTTTGGAGCTGGAAGACAGATTAGTACGAGAATGGGCACATCTTGCGCAGTTAAGAAAGCAGCATTATCAACTTGCACAAATTGTTGAAAATGATAGTGCTTCTGCTGATAAATAAGGTAAGGAAACGATTTTATTATGAACTAAGCTGAAAAACTCCGAACATTTATTGTTGTCGGAACTCTAGAATTTTTTTTCGATCTTTAATTTAAATGAGCATTCATTCTTTTCATTGTACTTATGTTAGACTAAACTGATGTTTTTGGAGTTTTGTGGTTGCAAACAAAGCATCAACGTTTGTTATAGTTCTCTTTTATAGCGCTTCCGTTCTCAAATTCCTGACAAGGCTTCATCTATTGGTTCTTCTAGAATAGAAGAGATTGCTTCTGCTACAACACAAAAAATTTCTGCATTATAAAATAATAATGACATTCGAAACCGATAAAACCATGACACTACTTCCAGTGAAGATGCTTTATTGTATATTATTCTTGTGATTGTGATTTAATTTTATAAACTTTAAATTTGAATTTCGTTAGTTTAATTAAAATTCTTGTTTTTGGATTAGAAGATTTTTTCCAAAAGTTCATCATCGATTATGGCCAATATAGTTTATTGTGTTTTGATTGTTGAGTTTTATAGTTTTTCTTTGATAAATTGACAAAAGTAACGAACTGTTATGATTCTTTGTGATGTTCCTTTTGTGATCGCTTGTACTTCTGTCGGTAGTTTATCTCACACATCTGATTTTTTAATGTAATCTTTAAATGTATATTGCAAATGCCTTAACTGATGATAACTACGACGCGTTTATGAACGGGAAAGTAATTTGTTATTAGATCTAAATATCACATGAGTTTATTCATAATACTTTGATCTATAGTAATAATCAGTCTAATTCTGCTTGATTCTCATATGTTAACAATCGATGGTGTATTTGTAATTTATAT